TTATTTTTTTGTTTTTGCATCAGAATAAAAAGGAATGTACGCAGTCAGGAAACTTTCGGTTTGATATAAACCCCGCCCATTTCAAAATACTGTCTACCCAAGAAAAAAACATGGAAACTTATGTAAGATTATTTTAAAGACGCTTTTTCAAAAATACAGGCTTGAGCTTACACAATGTATTCAAATTTACGTCGATCATGGCCTTCGTAGATATTGTTTACGATACCTTGTGATCGGTCAGAGACAGAATTTTCTCGGTGCAAATTGGAATGGTCCCGCTGATAGCATCCGAAATGTTTTCACGAGTCATCGATAGCTCCTTCGTTTCTATTTAGGAAATTAGAAAGTTAAAGTTTCCCTTGCGAATTGCACGCATAACCTCGATGAACGAACCGGACAAGTATGCGAGACAATAGCCGTCGTGTAGGAACACACGAAAAGAACTCGGGAGATGCTAGTTGTCGACTTGGCACAATAACACAAGCATTTTTTGCCCAGTCAGGAGCCAGCATTCGCTTAACCGTTTTGAAATGGTCTGTTTAAAGTCGCTACTCAGGGGGTGGGATCCACTCAACCAAAATTTCAGGAAATTTCAGTCCAAAACTCATTGGATCGGTTCGGTCCAACCGGAAAAGTTTCGAAAAAACGGTTCCACTTTTTGAAGTGGACCAGGACCGGTTGGAATTTTGGTTGAATGGATCGCGCCCAGGGGCTGTTCCGCCCGTGCTTGAAAACTTTCGCCGACCGGACCGACTGCCCCTGAGTCTCTGAGGATGTGAATCCCGCTACCCGAGTTCAGATCTCGGTGGGACCTCATCCTTCTTGTTTTTTTCTTCACGGCTTGCATGCGTGCGAGGAATTCTTCATAGACAATCAAACAATAATCAATAAACTGTTACTACAAGACCGTAGATAGTCAGAGTGCTACACCAGGGACAATAAGTGTACAGATCAAACATTTATTTAATCAAATGTATTTACAATGAATTATATTTTTTAAAAAATCCTGGTAAATGAAATGAAAATCAACATCAATTTTTGAAACACACACTTACAGTTAAGTGTGCTCTGTGCTCCGACCCCGGTGGATAAGCAAGCAACTCAAGTCAAACCAAGGCAATGAACGCGATCGCGGTATTGCGTAAAGATTGTGTTATTCTTATCTTAAGTTATGTCAGAATGTAAATATGAGTCCTAATTGACACCAGAGTTGTTAAAACGTCAAACATTTCAAGAAGGAAAAACTGAAATTCAGCCTTTCAATCTCGCGGTAAAAAACTGCCGTTATGCTGTAACACCACATAACTTGAAAAATTGCCTTTTAAAGCGAATAAGACTTATTGGCAGTAAATTTTCCTTTTTGAATTCTGTTGCAATAGTAAGTTTCAATTTCAAATTCAAGAAGTTGTCCTTTGCCAATCAGCTGCGTCTAGAATTAGTTGCTCTCTTGACTAATTTTTATTTACAGAACACGTTGCTGTAATATCAGTTATCCTAGATAGCGATTGACGTTCGGATAATTCGGCCAGTTTGCATATGATTTTCTGTATGCTTGATACCTTGCATAAGGATTCAAATACTGTGGCCTTGCTCTGGCATATTGCCTGTACTGATTGTAGTAGTAATTATTTGACTGTGCGGCTGGGTAGTAATTCTGGTATCTTTCACCTACTGGTGCCACGCGAGGAGCGGTGTACGTAAGAGGTCTGACATCATTCTGAGCAATGTTCCTACTGATACAACACCTCACAGAGCACGTTGGAGCACAAGTACTTGGACAGGATCCAGGACATGTTGGAGTTGGGGGTAGGGCTGGGGCTGGGTAATAGACTGGCGCTGGGGGAGGGGGTGGTGGAGGACTGCAACAAGCCTGAGAGCATGCTGGAAAGCATTGTGCTGGGCATGTTCAGGGCATGATGGCGGGGGAGGAGGGGTGGTGGCGGAGGGGAGGGAGGGTGCAGCAGCTGATGTCACATCTGGGGAAACATTTGTATGGTTTGTGGCAAGGTAAAGGACATACCTGAAAACAGAAGGAAGACATTATCACAGCTTACAACTACATTATATTGGATATCAAAACAGTCATTCTTATCATCATTATCATTTGTCTCTTTTAAAAATAATTCCGTGACATTTTCTCTTTCCCGAGGCTTCTCTTTCTTTGGCTGCTGCTCTTACAGTGCTCCAGTCACACCATGCACTTTGCTTTTCTTTCCCCTGCTTCCACTGACCTTCGCCAGGTCCAAACAGTATATTGCATTGGCATTACAAATAATTAAAGGTATCGACACTGCAATAAGTTATCGTACGACCATTTTTTTTGCCATACACTAGGCGGTCGTTCTTTCTGTGCGGCTTCTCCGAAACTTTGACTGATAGCCTATAGATTTCATGCAAGTATTTTTTTTAGAAAGAACCGATGAGATTTATTTAACTTGATCATGGACACTTCGCAACTTTTGCAGCTGCAAGAAAAAAAATTCAGGTTCGTACGGGATTCGACCTCTTAACCTCAGCGTTACCTCTGCAAACCTACAACTGCTAAGATCTTCTTCACGTTTAATCATTTCTCCGCAATTCAAAGATATGATTTTCACATACTCATTGCTTAAAAATTCATACAGTTTCGCATTTTGACCCCTTTCCTGAGCACTAATACACAGATTTAGTCATTAGTTATTTTAAGGACATTTGCACATGCATACCTACCGGAACAATCTTTGGATGTTGTATACAGCGGTATACCACTCTGGCGTATTTATACACATCAGGACAAATACTCGAATTCTTTGTGCCAAGGAAGGCATTAGTAGCTGACACGAAACACTTAGTTTCCCCTTGACACAGGTCATATAACTTCTTATTGACTCTCTGTTCCTCGGCCACGCAATGTCCTTTGTAGGGAAGGACGTTGTGTTTACACGTGCTGTTTTCATCCCTGCCATAAAATGTGCTGTATAATGCGATGCGATCGTACCTAGAAAATAATGATAAAATATCGAAGTTAACCCTTTAAAAGTTAGTTCGGAATTCTTTTTGTTTTTCTAAGAGTTGCAAAGAGAGTTTGAATGTACTACTGGAAACTGGAAATGAACATCACTTATTTTAGCTTTTGAATACCCTGCGTGTCGCTTTCCTTTCCTGTCTTTGTATTGTTGTTGTTTAGATGTATTGTATTGTTGTGGCATACTACATGTACAGAGAATACAACTTATGGCAACAGCCATTTGTTAAACGTATGAGAGAGATTTAGAATCACATATATGCGAATAAAGAGTTACTTAATCCTATCTTAAATATATTTAATATAGCCGAGGTTTTAAATTCAAGGAGGGAAGGAGGCCATCGAAATCTATCATCGGGCTCCAGCATTGAACATGAACACCGGTTATGAGCTTTCCGCGAACGGCCAGGACGTTTTGTCACATGATTCACAGTATAAATCGCGTGAAAAAACGTCGGAGTCCATCACTTGATAAAGATTCAGTGGTGAGTAGTGGTGTCCCCTCCTCTTGTCATCTAATGTTTCTTGTACCCTCAAAAATAGCAGCTTCATGTAAGGTTCATCCTACTCAATTTTTCTTATTTGAGAAATTGCCGACTTGAATCTCACGTTTTCCGCTTGCCGTTAACGTGACTCTAAATCTCCCTTTAATCAATCAATTGTCGTACTTATTTGGGCATTTTATCTTCAGTTTGTGTCCTTCACAAGCCACAGCTATTGACTGTTTTCTCTTCAAATACAATGGCATCGGTGGCGGCTTTGGCTCACAGCACGACGTCGCGCAATCTGGGTAACATTCTTTCGGACAATAAGACGCACAGGGAGGGGGAGGGGGAGGTTTAGGAGGAGCCGGGGTGGGCGATGGAGCAAGAGCAAACGCTGGAGCAGGAGCTGGTGCGCTTGGCAATTTAATGTACTGGGCCGCAGCTGCTAGGCCTGTCTCAGTTGGAGGGTGATGATAAAACTGCTCTTGTTGTTGCCGTTGTAGCTGTTGTTGTTGATATAACGATGATTGTTGAGAGTTGTAACAACAGACCGGGTTACAGGAAGGGTAGCATTGGGGAGAGCAGCTTCCTGGACATACTCCTGTAAAAAGAAAAACTAATATAAATCTAACATTCGTTTACTTTTATCAGCATTTTCGGTAAAATTAAATCAAGGTAGTGATGATCGCTTTGCCCTCTCGTTGCGGACATATATTTGACACGTTCTGTACAAGTTTTTAAAAACTTCGTTGAGTTCAAAATAGGACAGAACCAATCGAAGCAAATCATAATGATAATAATAATAGTAATAATAGTAAAATTAAAAATAACACACACATTAAAATTATCCAACTGAACGCAACCATTAATATAAAGAATGACGTTTGACAAGGACTGAAGTTATTTAAATGAATACCTCGAATTAATTATTAAGCATGTGAACAAAATTGTATTTAAAAATACGAAAAATAGCCTTTGCACTTTGAGCGCTTTCATCCATGTGACCAGCATCTATCAAATTTATTAGAACAAAAGCACGTTTTACATAAGAAAAGAGTTTAACTCCCACAGGATTTGTACACGAACATGGCTACAATTTCATTGTTATAGAGCACCAATATGGCCGTGGTGACGTCATTTGAAATTGCTCTATTGCTAAGAAAGTATAGGGCTACCTATAATCCTGGCCAAAGCTTTTGGGACACTTTCACGAATTTTTATTTGGAATTTATTCTTCTCCACCCCTTGGTACATATATATGGGAGATTAACTTGAATAGGGCATTTCAAGTTCCAAAATTCTCACTTTCAGGCGAGGCTTAGTGCAAAACCTTTCTTGTGAAAATGAGTTTTAATTGCATGAAATTATTTTTCATATCAATGGCCTGCACTCAACCTCGCTTTTGAAACAGAGGCTTGGAGCAACTTGAAATGGCTCGAAATGGCCTATTGAGGGGCCCATGACCCACAGGCTCCCTGCCTATTGCAGTTTTCATGTATGAAAGACAAAGT